TGGTCTTTCTTTCCTAATCTTCAGGACTTTGAATGTTTTGAAGATCATAGGCTCATTTTGGGGGGAATTGGAAGATGATTCCCTGTGCACAATTATCTTTGAGTGAAGCACAGAAGTACTGCTATGTTCTTTCTATTATGTCAAAATTAGAGGCACAGTCGATTTGCCCCATAACTAGTATATTCATCTTCATCACTTGGTTAATGTGACAGCTCTCAGATTTTTTTTTTCTACTGTGAAATCACTATTGTTCTCTTTTTAATTAGTGAGTATCTTTGGGTGGCATTCTTCAAGATTCTCTAATTGTTGTCTCTTGTCCAAATTCCACTCCGTAGTTTTAAAATCTGTTATCATTCTTGCCTGAAACAGTTGTTACTACATCATAGCCAAGTGTTGATTTTCAAATTGCATCATTCCTTTGACATTTATTAGTTGGCATATTAAATCTAAAGAAAAGCTTTTTCTTTTCCCCATCTATTTGTTTATTGTTGTATATCATAATGAACCCATGCTTTCATATCACAGTCAGTGAGTTATGAGCTGTTATCATCAGTATTTGTTTTGATGCTCACATTGTCTCATGCTTGCGGGGGGAGCCTCTTCCAATTGGTTCCAATGTACTTTTGATACGTTCAACATTCTTTGAGCACTTTTTCACTTTCTGGCATGAGATATTCTGGGTTCATTTTGTACTTTTCCAGCCCAACCCTGATATTAACTTCTCCAACAATTATGAATATAATACTTAAATCTCAGGGCCAGAGCCCTTGGTTGCTTTGTTGCTAGTAGAGTTTCATTGCTTATAGTTCATCAGGTAGACTTTGAAAGCTATTTATCTATGTCAGGATCTACGGACTCATATTAAAAGCCATGAGTTCTTACTGAGTCTTCCAACTCTAATCCAATTCTACCAGGTCCATTCCAGCCTCTCCCTTTCCACATTTGCAACTCCTCTTTCTGACAATATGAAACCTGGCCTCCATTAACCATTATATATTTACCTACTTTCTCAATCCAGCAATTTTAAATTTCAGGATTGTCTGTTTTCAAGTTATGGTAAAGGCATGGACTTTATGGGAAATAATTTGTTCCTGTTAAATTGTAAATGTAAGTATACACACACAATGGAGTATGTTCTAGGAAATTTGGATTTATGTGATTGTCATTATCACAGCTACCTTTACTATTTGGTTTTTTTAGATATACATAACAGTAGAATGTATTTTGACATATTATACATACATAGAATGTGACTTATTCTAATTAGGATCCCATTCTTGTACATGATATGGAGTTACACTGGTCGTGTATTCATATATGTGAACATAGGAAAGTTATGTCTGATTCATTCTACTGTCTTTCCTATTCTTATCCCCCTTTCCTTCCCCTCATTCCCCTTTGTCTAATCCAATGAACTTCTATTCTTCCCTCCCAGACCTCTTTATTGTGTGTTAGCATCCACATATCACAGAGAACATTTGGCTTTTGTTTTTGGGAATTGGTTTATTTCACTTAGCATGATAGTCTCCAGTTCCATCCATTTATCAGCAAATGCCATAATTTTATTCTTCCTTATAGCTCAGTAATATTCCATTGTATATATACCACAGTTTCTTTATTCATTCATCTGTTGAAGGACTAGATTTGTTCCATAGATTAGCTACTGTGAATTGAGCTACTATAAACATTGATGTGGACATGTCACTATATTATGCTGATTTTGAGTCCTTTGGGTATATGTCGAGGAGTGAGATAACTGGGTCAAATGGTGGTCCAAGTTTTCTGAGGAATCTTCATACTGCTTTCCAGAGTGGTTGCACCAATTTGCAGACCCACCAGCAATGCATGAGTGTACCTTTTTCCCCACATCCCAACATTTATTGTTATTTGTATTCTTGATAATTGAAATTCTGACTGGAGTGAGATGAAATCTCAGTGAAGTTTTAATTGGTATTTCTCTTAATTGCTAGAGATGTTGAACATTTTTTCATATATTTGTTGACCATTTGTATTTCTTCTTCTGTGAAGTGTCAGTTCAATTTCTTTCCCAATGTATTGATTGGGTTATTTGATTTTTTTGGAATTAAGCTTTCAGAGTTCTTTATATACCTTGAAGATTAATGCTGTATCCAAGGTGCAGGTGGCAAAGATTTTCTCTTTATGCTCTCTCTTCACATTCTTGATTGTTTTCCTTTGCTTTGAAGCAGCTTTTTAGTTTGATACCATCCAATTTATTGATCCTTTATTTTACTTCTTGTGCTTTACTTCTTGTTGAGGAAGTCAATTCCTAAGCTAACATCATAGAGATTTGGGACTTCTTTTTCTTCTAGTGGGCGTGGGGTTTCTGGTCTAATGCCTAACTAGGTCCTTAATCCAATTTGAGTTGAGTTTTGTGCAGAGTAAGAGACAGGGGTCTAATTTCATTTTGCTTCATATGGATTTCCAGTTTTCCCAACACTATTTGTTGAAGAGGCTATCTTTTCTCCAATGTATGTTTATGGCACCTTTGTCTAGTATGAGATAACTATATTTATGTGGGTTTATCTCACCACAGCTACCTTTTAAGAGTGAATAATTTTTAATACATGAAGTAAAATGCATAGAGCTACAAAGGAATCTACTATAGTGAAATACATCCAAAATAATTAAATTTTTTCTTTAATTAACACATGAAGTAACAGTATAATAGTAGAAGAAATGATGTTCACCATAATTTTGAAGTGGTGATGAGCATAAGCCATATTTTGAGATAACTCTAATAATAGCAATGTGACATAAAGATATTTGTGATTTCTACTGTAACAAAGTCACAGGTACTACAAATAATGCTGTGGTTTGTTGTTACTTTCATAATTCAAAGGTGTGCTAAATTTCAGGCACAGTGTAGAGAAAGTAAAATGGAGTCTTGTGCCATCCAAGTGGACAGACCCCTCAGTTCTATCCATGACCCTCTCAAGGGTCTGTGAAAGCCGTTTGCCCAAGTCATTCATCCGCCTGAATTCAAGGCCTTAAGGCTCATAATCCACCCTCATGCCCAGGAACAGAACTTGCCTTCCTCATACCTGTACCTCAAGAATCAACTGTTTTCCTCAAACCTAACATATTTTTAATGTGTTTCTCTGGCTTAATATTTTTCAAAGAGCAATTCTTTCAACTTTCTCTTTTTTAAGCTCTACCTCTGTTAGGACAAAAACTGAAAATAGAGTGTTCAAACTCTCCTTAAGAAGTAAATATATATTACATGGAGTTTTTGTTTTTATCTGAAATACTGTGTTTCTTATACAGTGATAGATATATAGTGTATGGGTGTGTGTGTTGTGTGGGTGATGAAATTCTATCTATATGTATAATTATTATATTTCTCATTAGGAAGAGAGAATTTTTTCATATACAGTAAATACATATATAGAAAATAAACTGGAGTTAAATGCACCAAAATATTAAGAGTCAAACGTGATAACTGTTACTATCTTCTTTTTTCTGCACTTTTTTTTCCCACCATAAATATAAGTTGATTTTATACGCAGAGAAAATATTTTAAAGGGTTCAAAGGAAAAACCAGAAAATATTGTAAGAAAACAATGTCCAACATTTATAAAATTGCTTGGCTCCACAGCTACTCTCTGAGCACAGTGTCCATGAACAGCCATGATTCCAGAAGCATCTACAAGGTCTGAACTTCAACTCAAGCTTATTGATTGTCCTCTTTGAGGCATTCAGGGTCCTCTAGATTCTAAGGGAGGGTCTAAATCAGGGGCAAAGATACTGCCTGGAAACAGCAGGAAATTTTCTTGGTCATTGGGGAAGAAATAAGGTCTTCCCCTACTTCCTATGGCCCTCTTCCCTCCCCGGGGTAAGGAGCCTACACAGGTGTGCCTGTGTGGTGGGCATGGGTGAGCTCCTTCCCTAGGGCTGTCTCATGGCTGTGCATTGGAAGCCTGGGCCTCCATGCTACACTTAAACCTGAGACAGCAAGGGAAGCCTGTCCTTTGACTGTTGGCCACTTCCTCCTCTGACTCTTCCCCAGGCACCACTGTCCATGGTAAGAGTTGGCATAAACTGAGGGGACACGCCACCACAGGCTTCTGAGGAAAGGGAAGGGCAGTCTCCTCTTGTTTGATGGTAGGCCTCCCCGTCTGCTCCCAGCCCTGACAAAATTATTTTCCCCAATGGTTTTATGCCACTTATGGTCAAAGCCTTGGTTTTACAATATCTATTTGCTTCACTTTGTCTTCCGTATAGGTGAGAGTTTGGGGGGTTTTTTGTTTTGTTTCTCATAGCAGGCTGGTGTCCAAAGAGGATGAAATCTGAATATTTGGAATAGTGGGTTGGAATACTGTACATGGACCAACAGTTCTCTCCCAATCTCTTCCTATTCATCTCCCTCTTCTGCCACATTAATATTCTCAGCATTGAGCTGTAATACTCTCAAAGCTGAGTTGAAGGCTAACATGAACCTATTTAAAATAAGAAAATGGAAACCACGTTGAGAGTGTTTTCTTAGTGACAACAGTAAAATGCTCTCATTTTCCTGACAGTCTAAAAATCAAGAGTCTACTAGAACAAGTAAGACTGAACTATACTTTCTAATAGATTTGACCTGTTTTGCTTAAATTTCACGAAGTGACAATAAGTAAGGTTTTACAGTAAGAATCTGTCTTTCTGACGGATGAGTTCACAAGTCAAATTAATGTCACTGTCCCACACAACTCCAGTCAACCACATCTACCTCTGACCTGTGTCAGCTCTGCCAGGGAGTCTCCCTTTCTGTCTCCCACTTAATTTCTCTGAATTCTACTTGGATAGTTTTGTACTATCTTCGAGAAGCAATTTATTCTTTAAATGGCCATCTTCCCAACAAACAACCAAATAAAAAGTAATATTTTTTAACTTTATATTTACCTATTCAAGTGAACTAAAATATCTCCAGTTCATCAAGCCTAGGTTATGATACTTCAGTAGTTCTAATTTGAATTTTCTTTCTAATTTTGAACCCTCAGGATACCATCCTCTTTTGTGATACAAGAAAGGAGTACCTCATCACATAGGGAAAAAATGCTTTTTGGGGTGCTAGCCCTCCTAATTCTCTGTGCTTTTCTATGGAATTATAAAGGACAACTGAAGATTGCAAACATTACCGATAAGTATATTTTCATCACTGGGTGCGACTCAGGCTTTGGAAACTTGGCAGCCAGAACTTTTGATAAAAAAGGATTTCGTGTAATTGCTGCCTGTCTGACTGAATCAGGGTCGACAGCTTTGAAGGCAGAAACCTCAGAGAGACTTCATACAGTGCTTCTGGATGTAACTGACCCCGAGAATGTCAAGAAGACTGCCCAGTGGGTGAAGAACCATGTTGGGGAAAAAGGTGAGAGACATAGAGGTGGGGAAGGGAAGGATAGAGGGAATTAACTAAAGAAAAATAAAATGTGTTCAGATTTTAAATGGATTTTCAATAAAATGTCTCCTAAATACCAGCTGTGCACTTCTCTAACTTCAGGAAAGCATCTGGGTAATTCCAAGTTGCAAGCTGTCTGCAGACAATAGAGACACCAATCAAATTCCGCTCAGTCTTTTGTCCCAGTGGGTCAATTTAGAACAGAGATGAAGGTACTGATTTTCCCTGGTATTCTGCAATGAAGTTTTACTCCATCCATATACATAGCAAAGGGACTGGAGTGAAATCTACAGGAGAATATGGGAGCAGACCAAAATCATCCTTTGAATAGCTAACATCCACTTTTCACTACAGAATGCTCCAGAGTTCACACATTTTAGTGGGTGAGGTAGGAAAGGGCCTGAGAACATGAGTTAGAATCTTCCATAGTCCTGGTGGAGTACTGAGCCCTTAGACACTCATTCTGTAAGTAGATTCTGCTAAGATAGCTGCTTTTTTTTTTTTAGTTTTATTGATTTTATTTTTTTAAATACACAACAGCAGAATGCATTACAATTCTTAATACACATATAGAGTACAATTTTTCATCTTTGTATATAAAGAATGTTCACGCCAATTTGTGCCTTTATACATGCACTTGGTTTTGTTTTGGTTTTGCATTACAATTTTAATTACACAAATATACCACAATTTTTCTTATCTTTGTATATAAAGTATGTTCACTCCAATTCATGTCTTTATACATGTACTTTTTTGGCATTACAATTCTTATTACACAAATATACCACAATTTTTCATATCTCTGTTTGTATATAAAGTATGTTGACACCCAATTCTTGTCTTCATACATGTACTTTGGATAATAATGTCCATCACATTCCACCATCCTTGCTAATCCCCTGCCCCCTCCTTTTTCCTCCCACCACTCTTCCCTAACTAGAATTCATCTATTCCTCCCATGCTCCCTCTCCCTACCCCACTATGAGTCAGCCTCCTTATATCCGAGAAAACATTTGGCAGTTGTTTTGGGGGGAAGATGGCTGCTTTCTAAACTAGAAGGTTTGAATCAGCTTTGTCCAGCATTTGAAATATTCTCATGGAATAAGATATTGGGGTCTATAAAGAAAAAAAAACAAATGTATATATTTTTCTCAACTATGCCTTCATCATATACCTGAGATTCTGAAGTATAAACATTATGATTTGATAAGGCTCCAGACAATTTTTAATGCTTGAATTCCAAATACCTTTAGCAATATTAAATGTTTCCCATCATAAAACAAGCCCAGTGAGTGATTAGATTTTTTTCACCAAAAATAAACATGAGGTGGATTGATTTCACTCTATCCATATAGAACATTTTATAAATATTCTCTGACTTTGCCATCTAGCAAGGCAGGTGGGGTGGGTGGGGGGAATAGACCTATTTACTCTACATATGAGATGAAAATGCAGAAAGTCTAACTCAAAAAGTATCATTATTTGACATTCAGAATTGGAAATAGAATAACACTGAAACTAAATTTCAGTAAAAACAAACTTCAATTATTTGAATTTATTCTCCCACTCTCTCTGCTATCACTTCTACAAACTGCAAAATATTTCACAGCAGCAATATATCTACAAGGAGGAAATGGCACCATTGTATAAAACAGAGGCTGCATTTTCATCCAAGACTCCATATGAACGCCACCTTCTACCACATCTCCTTTCTTCCCTCTGGGCTCTAGGTCTCTGGGGTCTGATCAACAATGCTGGTGTTCTTGGTGTGCTGGCTCCCACCGACTGGCTGACAGTGGCAGACTACAGAGAACCTATTGAAGTGAACCTGTTTGGACTCATCGATGTGACTTTAAATATGCTTCCCTTGCTCAAAAAAGCTCGAGGGAGGATTGTCAACGTCTCCAGCATTGGAGGTCGGCTTGCATTTGGTGGAGGGGGCTATACTCCATCCAAATATGGAGTGGAAGGCTTCAATGACTGCTTAAGGTAAAAGCAAACTAATTGGTTTACTAGGAAATAATACCTGGTAACATTCATTCAAAACTTAGTATGGACCAGACACTCTACTTAGTACTTTAAATTATTTCCACTTTATAGACAATACTACTGAAACTCAGAGCTAACTTGCCCAAGGTCATCCAACTAAGTAAGTGGTGGAACCGAGATTTGATTTTTTTTTACTTATTGCATTAATGCATGATATTGATTGAGGTGGTGAATTTATACTCAGGAGGTCAGTTTATCAAATAGGAAATTAAACAAAGCATAAATCAGGGTAGCTCTCTCCATTGCTTTTAGTGTATGTTACAGACACAACAGTACCATCTTACTTAAACCTTCTGTAGAAAAGTATAAGTTCTTAAATGGCTACTCAATGCACCCTACCCAAGCTTTGTAGCAGCATTCAGTAGGAGAAACACGGAGGAGTGTGCTTAATCCATCCTACCTGGACCCAGAACTTTTCATTATCAGTTCAGAGCCCTAAAGTGTAAGTAGTTCTTTCAGTCAAGGTTCTGGCAGAGAATGGAGGCATATTAAGATAGAGTCAAAGGAACAGAGTTTGTTTAAGGAACTATTCACAAACACATGAAAAGCATGTAGAAAAATCCCAGACAATAGTGTAGTACCTGCAGTCTGATGACAACAGAGGCATTTCTATCCATAGGATTGTAGGGACAATGAGACCAGGAAAGTTTTCAGAACCTGGAGACTCAGAGGTTGTCAGCTTCCATTAAGGGATGGTATTACTAGTGTTGGTGACACTAGCCTTACCTTGCCTCCTCTTGCCTCTGATCTCCCACTCACATTTCTAATCCACTGTGCCTGCTGGGAGCCAGAGTATGCATAGCTGATGCAGGACCACCTTCCAGGACATGGTGCTGGCAGGATGGAGAAAGCCACAGGAAAACCAATTGGAAGATATTTAACCAAATGGTGCCAATAGATAAGAGAAAATATCAAATCTAAAATTAGATATGATCTTTCCATCAATTCATCCATTTGCTTATTCGATTATCTGTTGAAGAAGTATGTTAGAGTTCATGATCTATACCATGGAGCTCAGAGATCTGTCGAGATTACTAAAGATAGAATAACTCCATTTTGCTGTCACATCTGATTGCCAAGTGTGACTCTCCCAGGAAATAAACACAATAACGTTGGAGTAATTCCTCCAAAACATTCATGTGAATTTAAATCACTTGGGGATCTTATTAAGATTCAGATTTTGATTGAACGGGTCTGGGATGGGGGCCTGAGATTGTGCTTTTCTAAGGAGCTCTCAAGTACTGCCATGGCTCAGGGATCACACTGGGAGCAGCAAGATCACAGAGAACCTGTTACTCTCCTTGGTTGACCTTTGGTTCCACTTTGCAAGTAGCAGGATCATAAAATTTTAGTATATTTAGGTATTTTCTTACTTTTAAAAAGATGTTTCAACTGAAATGTTCTTGGAATTTTCAATGCAGCTATATTTTTGCCTGAAAACAATCAATCACAGGTGTTTATTTCTTTAGAGTCCTAGAACTGGTATTTGATATTATGCCTGCGGGCCACAGCAGTTCCAGAATGTCTATAACATAGTAGGGCTTAGGGGCAACAGCACAATTGAAAGAGGATTGGGGCGTTCTGAAGCCTTATTTTCCCTGCAAGCATTAGTAATATCATACTGATCTTACTTACCTAGTAAGCTTAGTTGGGTGGCATAACCCTAAATTGTATGCTATTTTCATGAGTGAGTAGGAAGATAAGCCTTCCCAAATCCTATCTTGGAACTGCTACTTCCATGATCTGATGGAGATCAGACAACAGGTGAATAAATACAATGAAATGGAAAATAAACTTTTCCACTTTAATGTAAGTAATATATCTTTCTAGATCATCCAAGGTCAAACTAATTTGCATTTTTAGCAAAATATATTTCAAACTTTACAATAGTTACATTGCTAGAGATAGAATCTACAATAAATTAAATCACATTTTAAGTTCACAAAGAGAGCTTTTAAGAAACCTTTGGTGAGGATTTCTGTAAAACTCGTTATATATTTCTGGTGGAAACATATACATATCAAATTTAGGAAATGATTATTCATGCACTGGTTTGCAATACATTGTTTTACTTTAAAGGAAGGGGTGAACCAGGTGTGATGGCATGCACCTGTAGTCCCAGCTACTTTTAAACCCAAGAGTTCAGGGCCAGCCTGGACAACATAGCAAGATCCCATCTGTTGAAACAATAGAAAGAATAAAGGAAGGAAGGGAGAGGGAGAGGGAGAGGGAGAGGGGGAGAGAGAGAGAGAGAGAGAGAGAGAGAGAGAGAAGAAGAAAAAGGAGGAGGAGGAGGAGAAAGGGAGGGAAGGAGTGAGGGAGGGTTGCTATGATTCCTCTAAAACCTTGATGTCCAGTAAATGAGCAGACTTCTGGTTTTCTGTGGTGATGGGATGAAAGACCTTGCTCAGCAGCAGAGGGCTCAGGTGGGCACAGCAGGGATCATCACTTTGTGTCCTTTACTTTTGTGCTGCCATCTATCACATTCCTAAGATGGAGGTAAACTTGTCCAAACAGGCCAGTCATCAGTCCATTTTCCCAGAAGGTACTTTGAGTGTGGAAAGGAAACAGTCTTAACCAAGAGCTCATCAATTTAATGAGGAGGGTATGGCTTCAGGAGAGGAGCACTGGACGGATGTGGGGCTGAGAGGTCCCACCCAGATGCCTTTCCTCTTTGGCCATTAACCAGCTCCCCCTTCACCATGAGCTTCAGTTTCCTTATTTGCAATGAGAGGGTAGAATGGAATACTTCTTTCCAGTGCACTCAATTCTGATATTCTATGAAAAGATGCATGAGAAAATTGTCACTCATATAGAATACATTCCCCAAATAAATTTGGATTAAACACTTAAAAATATAATAATAATAATATAAAATAAGGGCTACAGATATAGTTCAGTGGTAGAGTGCTTGCCTAGTATGTGAGAGGCCTTGGGTTCAGTCCTTGGCACTACAAAAGAGAGAGAGAGAGAGAGAGAGAGAGAACAAATAATTTTTTTAAATAACAATAAAATAAAAAAAGATTTTCACCTGTTCTTTTCACAGACGGGATATGAAAGTTTTTGGCGTTCACGTCTCATGTATTGAACCAGGATTCTTCAAAACAGAATTGTCAGATCCAATAAAGGCAACTGAAAAAAAGCTTGCCATTTGGAAACATCTGTCTCCAGATATCAAAGAACAATATGGAGAAGGTTATATTGAAAAAAGTGAGTTTCTGGGTGAGCCAGTGTCCTCTGGGATTCGTTGTCTTAGGCAGCCTGAAGGAGGCTCAAACACAAGTGGAGAACCAAGGTTCCCACAGTAACACACCAACAGGGATCTTAAATATGCGGATCAGGATCTCTGTTCATTCCTGTCCTCTCTACTTCTCTGAGGATCAATGAACATTAACTGAGCAATTGACAAATGTCAGGTTCTATAAATGCCTAATGAATTATATCATTTACTTCTCAGAAAAGCTGCTAGAATAGTAAGCAGAGGCTTGGAAAGGCGGAGTATCTTCCACAAAGCCAGGCAGTGCCTCCTGGTCATACCAGGACCAGGCAGGCTGGTCCTGCAACCCGTGATCTTAGTCTCTACACACACCTCCCCTTCTGTTAAACTCCACTCAGCATTATTCAAGGAAGGTTCAGACTCTGACCCTCAACTAGCTTAACATCTAGTTGACAATAAAAAGTAATCAAGTGAGGCTCTACAGTACACAGGAAAATTGGTCCTCCTTAGATGTGACCCTGAGGCCCAGAAGAGGTGGAAAATGGTGTGGCCTCTAGTTGCTCACAGAGTTCAGACCAGGAAAAGAGCGTTTCTTGGGAAAGATCAGGTTTGAGTCAGGCCTGAAAAACAGGAAGGAATTATTTGGGTGGAAGTTTTATGGAGCAGGAACACATAAAGGAGGAAATGGAAGGAAAGGTAACCAAAGTCAAAAGACTGAGTCAAGGAGGAAGAATAATAATAAAGATTATGTAATAATGACTAACACAGCAAACATTTACTACCTACTCTGTAACCATTTTAAGTGCTTTATGTGGACTCTTTCATTTATAATCCCCAAACAAACTTGAAGTAGATACTATCAGTTTTTTTTCCCCCAGTTTTTAGAAATAGAGGCATAGAGAAGTATGCCTAAAATTACACAGCTAGTAAGTAGAAAAGCTAGATTTGAACCCAGCCAGCCCCACTCTGCCATGTATTTTTGGATACTGCAATACGGTGTGAACAAGAAACTAAGGAATTGGATCCTATTTCCTGTATCAGTATTCCCCTTCCACTTCAGACTCCCTGTTAAGATTTGCTTGCTATTCCTGAGCTCCTGCTTCAAGTTCAATAGATTCCTGTCTCCATGTATCACTCTATCCCTCCAAACTGTGATCTTGCCAGAGCCAAGTCAGATCCACCTGGAGAAGTTTTTAACATGACTGACTCCCCCAGATCCCCACCCCTCCACAGCACATGCACACACACACACACACAATCACACACACATACTATATATATATATATATATATATATATATATATGTCTTGATATATAGTTTATATATTTTTCTTGATATATAATTTATATATTTTTCTTACTATATAATTTACATATATTTATATATTTTATATATAAGTTATATATTTTATATATAGTCTTGATACATAATTTATATATTTTTCATATATATCATATTTATCTATCATATATACCACATATATATGAAAATATATAAATTATATATCAAAGCTATATAAATATAATGAATTATAAATATATATATATTATATATGTAAATATATATCATATATATGATATATATATATATATCATATATATATATAAAATAGAAAACCACTGGGTTCAATTCCCAGCACTATAAAGTTAAAAAAATTAAACTTAAAAAATAAATAAATAATACAGACAGATATATACATATATATATATATATATATATATATATAATGTTTAGTTGACAAACCTCACAGTTTGAGTCAAAATTGTTTTGAATCTAATTGTTTTGATTCAAAGACATTAAAGGCTCTATTTCTCACATATTGATCCAAGTTTCTATGCAGGTTCGGTGTAAGAATAAACTTAATCCTTCAGATTTAATACTTCAGAAAAAAATCTCTCATTTAAAAGCCTTTCTATGTTTGAAATGGACACTTAAACTTTTTAAATGCCTGTGAGTACATCACCAAATTCTAAATTTCAAGCTATCTTTATTTAATTGACACATTATAATTGATACATATTTATGGAGCACCGTGTGATATTTCAGTACATGTATACAAAGTGAAATTATCAGATCAGGGTAATTGGTATACTGATATTTCCAATATCTATCATTTCTTTGTGTTGGAAATATTTAATCTTCTATACCAAGATATATCAAAAAGCATTAGCCCAGTTTTATGCTGGTTATTTTTAAGTTTTTCCAAGTCTGGACCTAGACATCGGCCGTATCCACAGACCCAAAATAGGCCATACATTTAAAGCTAATTTTCTTCATTTTCCTGGCTAGGGTGGTAGGAATCTCAAATAACCATTAATTTAAGACTTATTGGATTCTTTGAACAATTTATATTTAGTTGGCACTAAAGTTATAAGAAAATCTAGAGTCATAAATTTTCCCTTGAGAAGACAACTCAGGTATATTTTAAAAGCATATGAGAATCATATAGTACTTAGAATTTTTTGAGAAATCTCCATTTTGTTTTCCATAATGACTATACTAAGTTACATTTCCACCAACGATATGCAAGAGTTCCCCTTTCTCTACACCTCTATCAATGTTTGTTATCTCTTGTTTTTTCATAATATTCATTTTAACAGGTATGATATGTCATTATGGTTTGAATTTATATTTCTCTGATAAGTAGTGATATGATCATATTTTTTTCACATGCCTGTTGGCCATTTGTATATCTTCTTTTGAGAAATGTCTATTTAGGTCCTATTCCATTTATTTATTTATTTATTCTAAATTTTATTTTATTTTATTTTGCAGTGCTAGGGATTGAACCCAAGGGTTCTCCACTACTGAGCTATATCCCCAGCCCTTTTTATTTTTTATTTTGAGACAGGATCTTGCTAAGTTGCTGAGGATGACTTTGAACTTGCAATCTTTCTGCCTCGGCCTGCTAAGTCCCTTAGATTACAGGCATGTGCCATTGTGCCTGGCTCCCTTTCCATTTTGTAAATCAGATTTTTATTTTATTGCTATTGAGGTTTTTTTAGTTCCTTTTACATTTTGGATATTATTCCCTTATCAGATGTATGGTTTGCAAGTAAATTTACCATTCCATAAGTTGTCTTTTCATTGTTTTAACTGTTTCCTTTGCTATTAGGAAGATTTTTCATTTGCTGTAATTCCAACTATATTTTTGCATGGTTATCCATGTTTTGGGGGTCATGTCTAAAAAATCTTTGCCCAGACCAAAGACGAGAAGTTTTTTCCTCATATTTTCTTCTAGTAATTTTACAGCTTCTGGTGGTACATCTAACTCTTTAATCCATTTTGAGTTGCTTTTTTATATGGTATGAGAGAAGAACCCAATTTAATTTCTCTGCATGTGAATATTCACTCTTCACAATGAAGGCCTGAGGCTCCAAACCATTAGCAAGCCCTCATCAAATACCTATCTCTCTAAATATGTCTTAGCCCATCACACAAGTACTTCACCTGCCTGAGAACCACATACTTAAGCTTCCTGATTAGAGACATTTATGGAATGAATTGCTCTAAAAAGAGAATTATAGAGTGGGGAAGCATGTGAGTGCACTCTCTCATAACACATGTGCATGCACACATGTGCCCAAGCACACATGCACACCTACACTTCCTATAAACACAGCACTCCCTTAAAACAAATTAATAATCAAACCCATGGCTTCTTAGAGTCAGGAGCTTCATGATATACAGTATCTTTCCCCATTGCTTTAGAGCAGTAGTCTTCAAAGTTCAGTCCCTGGACTAGCAACATTAGCACCCCTTGGAGATTTGTTTGAAATGCAAGTACCTACTGACTCAGGAACTCAGAAATCTGAATATTTGTAAGCTCTCCAAGCAACTCTGCTGTCTTCCCTATTTAGAGAGCCCTGATCTAAAGAAAGCACTATAGCATCCTTTTCTGAGGACTAAGTAGAAAACAATCAGAGTGGGTCTCAATTGTAATAATAAATTCAAAATAAATTCCCTCACATACAATTTCCACCTTGTCCCCTAGCCTCCCATTCTGCTCTTCCTCTTTTGAAGAATAAGTGTGCTTTTTGTCTCTTTTTATAGGTCTAGACAAGCTGAAAAGCACTACAACCTGGGTGAATTTGGACCTCTCTCTGGTGGTAGAGTGCATGGACCATGCTCTGACAAGTCTCTTTCCAAAGACTCGCTATGCTGCTGGAAAAGATGCCAAGACTTTTTGGATCCCTCTTTCTCACATGCCAGCAGTTTTGCAAGACTTTTTATTGTTGAAAGAGAAAGTAGAGCTGGCTAATCCCAAAGCCGTGTGACTCAGCTGATCACAGATACCTGTCCCCAGGCTATGAGATTAGCCAAATTCAAGGACACATCTACTTTTCCATCCAGTTCCTTACCTAATCCAACCTGGACTCATTTAGACCAGGCTTATTTATAGAAAAGAAGGAGTCTTACCATCATCAGTAGTGTCTCAGGATCCCTTCTCAAGCCTTCTTTGACAAGAAGGATAGAGATGGCACATCACATAGGCAAAAACAGTCCTGAGGCTTTGCCTGCTGGATAGAATATAAGAGAAATTGGAAGACTTCCTCCAAATGATGTATACCTTATTGAATATTGAATAATCCTTCCCCATGCTTATTGAATAATCCTGAATGTCAAGTACTATCTCCTATCAATACTAACGTAACCAGAATGCTTTCATAAGTGGGTTAAAAATGTTCTGTTATTTGCTGAAAATAAGACCGAAGGACTGGAACTCAGCTCTCATAAGGTTGGATGGGAACCAGAAAGGAAGAGAGATAAAGCATTATGTGACATTGGTATAAGTAAAGGGCAACAGAAAAGCAGTAGGTAGACCCGCAAGTAGAAAAGATGAAAAAGAGAGGAAAGGAAATAAGAAGCTGCAAAAAAATGAATATGTAGAGTGGGAGACTGCAGGATAACTCTTCCTGTTTAAGAAGGAGACATAAAGGATGGATAGCCTACTGAAGGTCACTGTGATCATTGATGCACACAGCTTTCTGGTGGAAGTGGGGATTGCAAAGTAAACAACCACTCCAAAGGAGAAAAATATAGGATATTCATATTTATTCTGGTAATTGTCAAAATAACAAGAACCAGAATATCTGGTACAACTTACACCTGAGATGGTTGGAAGTCCTGCCTTTTAGGCATCTCTGAAGCCCAAGAAGACAGAACTGAAGTGAAAGGCTTTTCAGCCCACAGTGATGATAGCATCTTGCTATATCTATGATTCTAAGTTGGGTTGATTATGGGTAGCGCCACACCCAGAAGAAATTGTTCCCTAAACAGATGTTTCCCAGATTTCATTCCCAGTACCACTTGTTGAATGTTTACATGAAGAAGCCTGGACTGGCGTGGCAGAATTCAACATTTTTTTGCAGAATAATATGGTGTGGAAGGGCCAGGAAAACATGCAAATGCTTATTATAAAGAAAATATTTAACATCTGCTTTAACATGACCATTTAAAGGTATCAATGATTCTCTTCATTTCATTCACCTTTCTAGAAACATCTGCACATGTAATAATTTTTTTTCCTTTTTTTAAGTATACAACATAATAACTACTGAAAAATACAATTACCCATTGGTGTCAGTCCACCTGAACATATATGTTATAATTTTGAGGGAATATGGGCTCATCCTTTTTGTATCAAAAAAAAAAAATCACAACAAGAATGAGAGAAGAATTCTCAAAGTTGGCTGAACTCTCATTACCATCTATCTGTGAAGTCATCCCCAGCTTGGTTCTTGCTCAGAGACACTTCATCTATAGATTTCTGATTTCTCCTGGTTTCAGTTAACCACCTCACTACCTATCCGTGGAGCTGAAGTTCACCAATATTGTTTTCAATGGCCCTTTCTTCTGATCTTGAATTCCTAGCTCTTGGCTTCACTTCAGTGCCTTAAAATTTGTGACATGCTGTTCCCTGACTTTCCAGACCTCCCAGAGTTAACAGGAATTTAAGAATGTGAAGGAACCTCCTCTACTTCCTGCCACACTGTTGGGCCAACCTAATTTGTGTTGTTCCTTTGTTTTGCCTATTGAGTTCTTTCTCATTTCTTCTAATAGTTATAATTTGATAACTCCTTGTTTCAACCACCAAAAACTTCTCTCCTTAAAACTAGTGTCACCAAACATGATATCACTCCAAAATAAAGCCAAATATATTCACTCAAGCAACTTTAAAAGGTCTGTAAACTAAAGGAGAAGGTGAGGTGTTTCAGTGTAGAGAAGTCTCAACAAAACCACAGACCTGGGAGGGAGGGAGGAAGCAGGGGAAGGTCACAGGAGGGCCTCAGATGTGGGTTGCTAGACTTCTCTCCATCTCACCCTCACATCTTCTTCTCTGTGCTTTTGGGGGAAATAATTCTTTAATTTTTTCTGTAAATATTTGAGGAAACATATTATGGACTGGGCACACTGGTCTACAATAAGGAATAAGATAGATATGAACTTTTTCTTCTTAATATAATAATACAGCTTAAGACAAATCGAAAAACCAAGGCCAATACTCAGGATGCTCTAGAGGAGTTTCTCCCAGAGTTCATGGCCAACATGAATTGTTATGTTTCCTGCCACATCCAGCTTGGAGTACCCTTTGTCACTTAGTTTGGAGGGACCAGGAGAATTTTCCAAACCTTCCTTCTGATCTGATTTACGAATCCCACTGGGTCCACTCTAGCTCCACCTAGACATTCACAATATATTCAAATCTGAAGGTTCTATCTCCCCCACTCCACGTCTCCTTTCCCCAACCCAGCACCAACTACTCTACTGCTAATTTTATCTCCTGAAGAGCTCTCAAGTCCATCGACTTCTCTTCATCCCCAGCGCAATCACCTGTTCAAGCTGTCACCATATCATCTATTGTATCAGCTATAGCCATGTTTGTCCTGGTGCACCTTTGATAATTTCCTCTCACTACAGTCATAATTATTCATTAAAATCAAATCTTCTTCTCCCCACCACCACTTTCTTAAACACTTCAATGCATTCTCACTATACTTGGACTAAAGACTTAACATTCGTAACATAAACCCTGTTCCCCAACAAGCCTCATTAGCCCACTTTTGGGCCACCATCCTCTTCACCTTGACACCTTAGACCTTTGCCCATGATCCTTCCTGAAAAGTTCCCATTTCTCTGGTTGTCTAGTTTCTATGTCCTCAGAGAGCCTCAGAGAAGCCCAGAGTTTCAAATCTGACCACCATATTTTCATCCCAACTAGGTTTCCATTTTGGACACCTCACCATGCCCTGTAATTTATTTCAGGACATTTATCAGAGTCTGTAGTTACGCATTTGTGTGGTGAGTTAGTCAGTATTGGTCTCCCATGTCAGACTGTGAGCTCTAAAATCAGAAACCATGATGGTTTGCTTATCTTTTATTCCCTGACCTGCCCCATTACTAACATGCAGCCCAGTATTCAATGAAGATTTGTTGAATGAATGTAGAAATCAGCATATTCAAACTAAGGGGCAATCTACCATTAAGATAAACCTTGCCAGTTGCATTAGTTGTGCTATCAATGTCAGTCAATTTTAGTAACTTCCTTTAAGCCTTTGTTTCCTCCCTAGCTCGGGCTCTGTGATCAGCCTCCCCTTAGAGACGGCTCAGGGTTGCCATAGTGATTTCCCTTAACCTGTTAGTTCACAGACACTGTGACAGAGCCTGCCACCATGAAAAGTCATCCTGAGCCTGGTGGTCACAGAATAAAGAGAGTATCAGGAATAATTTAGTCTGTGCCTACAGCAAGATGTGTCTAAATCCCCTCTCTGAAGGAGATCTCTTCCATTCAAACCTCTCCAGAAATTTCATAATGTCTGAGGACAACTCAGCCCAATATTTAATGAGGAAAACTTCCATGAAGCTTCTAAGAAAATTGTTCAATTTGAGCTTTTATCTCTACTATTAATCTCAATAGTTCTCAAGAACATAAGAGAGAGGGAAAAAAAGAACATAAGAAATCACTGTCCCATCAGTATGGGGAAAACAGCTAAACATTCTTAAAATGAAAACCTATGAATATTTAGAAATTGTTACAAATTATTATAAGTTATAGTTTATAAGGATAAATCTGGACAATAGTTTCATGAACTTTTGCATGTTGAAAAGTAATTCTGTTGATATTCATAATACTAGCATACTTCCTCAATTCTGATTGACTCTTTTTTTATATTTTTGGCTGTAGATGGACACGATACCTTTATTTCATTTACTTTTTTTTAAAGAGAGAGAGAGAGAGAGAGAGAGAGAGAATTTTTTAATATTTATTTTTTAGTTTTTTCGGCGGACACAACATCTTTGTTTGTATATGGTACTGAGGATCGAACCTGGGCCGCACGCATGCCAAGCAAGCATGCTACCGCTTGAGCCACATCCCCAGCTTCAATATTTCATTTACTTTTATATGATGCTGAGGATCAAAAATCAGTGCCTCATACAAGTGAGATAAGCCCTAAACCACTGAGCTTATACATAATTCCCCAGCTCCTAATTGACTTTTTTTTTCCCCCAGTACCGAGGATTGAACTCAGGGTCACTCAACCACTGAGCCACATCCCAG